GAGAGAGAGAGAGAGAGAGAGAGAGAGAGAGAGAGAGAGAGAGAGAGAGAGAGAGAGAGAGAGAGAGAGAGAGAGAGAGAGAGAGAGAGAGAGAGAGAGAGAGAGAGAGAGAGAGAGAGAGAGAGAGAGAGAGAGAGAGAGAGAGAGAGAGAGAGAGAGAGAGAGAGAGAGAGAGAGAGAGAGAGAGAGAGAGAGAGAGAGAGAGAGAGAGAGAGAGAGAGAGAGAGAGAGAGAGAGAGAGAGAGAGAGAGAGAGAGAGAGAGAGAGAGAGAGAGAGAGAGAGAGAGAGAGAGAGAGAGAGAGAGAGAGAGAGAGAGAGAGAGAGAGAGAGAGAGAGAGAGAGAGAGAGAGAGAGAGAGAGAGAGAGAGAGAGAGAGAGAGAGAGAGAGAGAGAGAGAGAGAGAGAGAGAGAGAGAGAGAGAGAGAGAGAGAGAGAGAGAGAGAGAGAGAGAGAGAGAGAGAGAGAGAGAGAGAGAGAGAGAGAGAGAGAGAGAGAGAGAGAGAGAGAGAGAGAGAGAGAGAGAGAGAGAGAGAGAGAGAGAGAGAGAGAGAGAGAGAGAGAGAGAGAGAGAGAGAGAGAGAGAGATTCCCATATGAAAAAGGGACTGCATTAAGAGAACTTCATCTAGGGGGGGATTTTCAGATTGTATGGATGGCGGCATGGAGCTTGTTGATTTGCAGCTTGATGTGGAACTTACACTTGGTTTAAGGAGACAACCATACTAATTCCTCTAGAATAGACAGGATACTGGTATCAACAGAATGGAATAGCCAATTCAGTGATCTAAAATAATGTACTCTACAGAGAGTGGTTACAGATCATGTCCCAATTGCTCTGTTCTGTGGACACTGGGAACAATCTAAGTCATTTCAAATTTGGTGGTTAAACTCAAGAATGTTTTGTTGACAATGTCGGGAAACGGTGGAGTCTGAAAGAGTGGAGCAGGAATGAGCAGGGGAATTTGAAGATTCAGAAGAACAAGCTACTCAGCTAGATGTGCTATAGACAAATCCCCTGGCACTGATGGGTATACAATGGGTTTCTGTCTAAATTGCTGGGAGGTTATAAAGACAGACATATTTCATAATTTCCATTCAAATGCTATGTTTGAAAAAAGTTTTAATGCAACATCTATTGCCCTGATTCTTATCATAAGAAGACATGGGCAAAGGAGCTCAAAGATTTTTAGATATATCAGTCTGATTGAAAACTTTTACAAGTTAATCTCTAATGTCCTGACAGAGAGATTGAAGAGGCCGGTGAACAAACAACGAATGACATTCATTAAAGGAAGACATATAAAGGATGCAGTGCTGATAGCTAATGAAGCAATTGATTTCAGAATCTCACTAGAAAAACCTGGCATCTTTTGCAAACTTGATAGTGAGAAAGGCTATGACATGTCAATTGGGAGCTCATTCTTAGTATGTTGAGACAAATATGCTTGGGGGAGAAGTGGATCAACTGGATTAAATTTTGCATCTGTATAGTAAACTTACATGTATTTTGTTGTTCCGCTTTTGGCGTACAAATGTTTATTCTAATGAGACTGAGTCAATTCTAGATGTTTTAGGGTCCAGCTAGAGTTAGGTTTAACGCTTGGGAAGCTTGGTACTTCCTTCTATTATAAATATGGTTCTTACGGTACTTAAGTAAGTATCGATACAAATTTACCAGTTAAAAAACAAACAAAACAGAGTAAAAAAAGTTTGTCGGGAAAGAAAGTATACATGTTAGATTCTTTGTTTGGAAAGAAAGTATACTTGCTAGATTCAGAAAGGCACCAAGGTACTTCCTTTCCAAACAAAGAGTGTCGTTCTCAAAAAAATCAAGGTTGTATTGGAAGAAAGTGTAGTCTCTTTTCTTTGTGGGTAGTTGAGCATGTTTGATTCTGATTTTGCAGGCCCATGAACGGTACTTAGTAGCACTTTTCTCTGATGATGACGAATCAGCGAGAAAGACTTTTCATGAATGTGAAGATCTCGCCAGTGGGCTTGCTAAGACTTTTGGAAATGCTGCTAGAAACAAGCACCGGTCAGATCTTCTGAATATTGTCACAGGAGGCATTCAATATGCCTTTACTGAAGCTCCAAAGCATTTATCTTTCTTGGATGGTGCTGTGCTGTATTTCATATCTAAACTTCCTTCTCCAGATATTATGAACATGTAAGAGCTTACTAAATGTAATTTTCCGTTTTAATCACATAATGAAAGGCTAACATTCTGACTCCAATCCTGTTAGATGATCTAACTAGGGCGTTTAATGAAATTCTGTGTTAGCCCTGGTATGGAACAACTTGAGGAAACAACAGATTATCTTCTCATGTTCCTTGGGTTTTGTATATTGTAGAAGCTTGGACACTGTGTGTTCTGCTTGGTTACAGGGTTGGATTTAGATGTGGCTTGGTTAGATATATGCCTGAGAATTGGGACATCCTGGTGGGGTTTTGGAGCTTGGGCTGTCGTGATTGTGGCAGATTCCCATGGCAGAAACTTCTCTTTTTTATTTTTTTGGTTTTAAAAATATGAAGTTCTTTTTATTGAAGTTATTTGTTGATGTGATAGGGGATGTACCATTCACAAGCAGTATGCAGAAGTAGAGGTTCATGATGAGAATGTGATTCTCTACAAAAATTACGCAATATTCATTGCCAACTGGGATCACATATCTGCTCCAAAAACTTACAAAAGTATAAATGATCATTGATATTCACATCAGATATTTTTATTGTTAACTTCTTCAACTTACAAAATATTAATGATCCTCTGATATGCACATAAAGTTTTAACTTCAGCCTTTTTCCAGATTGGTAACTTCTTAAGCGGTTAAGCCTTTTTTTTTTCTTTCCTTATTAGCCGCTAAAGTGCCAGAGGAGCCATTTTTACTCTCTACTCCTTTTCCTCTTGAATTCCCAACTTAGAACACGTCTTTGAGAGTAGCCGGTGTCACCCATCTGGTGCCAAACATATTCCACACTTTGTTTCACAATCAGTGTGTGATATAACAATAAAATCACAACTGGTTCTAATCTTATCACCAGTAGATGTGACCTATCTTCCATTTCCACAGATTTCTCACTGTGAGAATGGTCAAGGAAGAAGTAAACCTTTTTAGGTGCCTCTAGGAACCAATACCATGGAATAGGCAAAAGATTCCTCTCAAATAATCATTGATATAATGAGTTTATTGTGAAGAGTCTGTTTGCATCCTACTTTCAACTGTTCTGGCCCGTTAGTGACACTAGAAGCAATGGCATACATGAAGTTTAGGGGTGTACCATGTTGACCTATGCAAGGCCTACTTCTCTGAGAAGTTGGTGAAATTAGCTGTAGTTGCTGCTTACTCTCGGATACAGCCTTAGTTTGTTACTGGTCTCTGAATCAAGAATAATTGGAGGTTGATACTTTTGCCACTCTCAATGTGTCTCAAAGAAATCAATAAAACTTTACTAATGACCAGCTATAACTTTCTCATCGGACGTAATGTTTTCTTGCCTTTGGACATGTCAGTGGTGTATATTGTATATCTTTTCCATTTAAGCTCTCTTTCGTTGTTTTTAAAGTTGTCCTTGAGAGAACTGCCTAAGCAACCCTGTCTTGTCATAATTTGATCTTTCGATGCTATTTTCTTGTTAATGTAAGTATCATAGCTCTCATATGAGCAACTTAACTCTTATGTGATCAGCTTGAAAGATGTCGAGAAAAGAACTGAAAATGTTAACACGGATGAAGATCCAAGCGGTTGGCGACCATATCATATATTTGTAGATACGGTCCATGAGAAGTATGCTAAGGGTGAAGTTTTACAAGGTACACATATACTTTTAGTTCTCTGAATTTGTTTTTTTTTCTATAGTTTGTCTTCTCCAGTCTTGCTCCCTTTTTATGCTGTGCACTTTAATTTATGAGTTAATTCTTGTTTGTTTCTCAGTCCTACTAAACAGCTCTGGTTTCAGTGTATTCGTTTTGGGTCCACTTCCAAAGGGCTTCTTTTCTTTTCCTTTTTATTTTCATGTGAAAGGGAACTGTTATATGTAAGCACATGCCTATAATGTCTGAAACTGTGTGAGGAGTTTTCAAAAACTTATGAAGGGTTGGTTTGACTATAAATTAGGTTCCATGCTGTTAACTTCTTGTCATCTTGGGATGGCGAGTGAAGGCAAATGGAGTGAAACTGGGAAGTGATTACACCAATCCTGTTGTGTGCCACATTTAGTAACAACAATAATGCCTCAATCCTAAAGTAAAAAGGGATCAAATATGAATTCTCTGTATCCATTGCACTCTACTTTGACACGTTTCATGCAAATACTGAATAATTGTCTTTTAGGACAAATTAGTGTTTCTGACAAAATAATAATGACAGAAAATTCTGTCTCTCACTGATTCTGTACGCCAAACAACAAATTCCTGAATAGACTAAACAAACTTGTAATTAACACCGATTGTGCCTAATGGTGTCAAATGTCGTCAAAAAGTTATTTGGTTTATTCCTAATTTTGGTGGTGGTATTGTCATTGCTCTCCATGATCTCTAGAAAATAATATCTTAAACCTATTGTTTAATAAGATCATATCATTGCTGTTCTACCAAGTTCTAAAATGTCCTTAGAATAAAATGAAGTCACTTGGGTATGAGTGTATAAATGAGAATAATTGAGCTGAGCAATGGTTCACAAGCTAGGTTTGAAATCTAAATCAACTTTAGAAGTCATCATGCTGGTTGTCTTTATTTGTTTTTCCCATTTTTACCAATTTTATGACACTTTGGTTTTCCTTCATGGTGGTAAAGCTAATCATGTCAAGGGTCATGAATAGTTTCAAAGGTTGTGATTAGACTAGAAACTGGTTTAATTTATTTATTTTAGTTCTGGATGAATTGGTTGTTGTTCTTTGCAAGTAAATGTGATTGTTTGAATTTTCTTTTGGGAGAATTGGGTTTGGTTCATCTTCTGGAAAAAAGGTCACCTAATCCTTATCCTTGTGAAAGCAATAGATCAAAACCGATTAGATATCATTGAATGTTACTATGGCTTGTAAATTTCACATAGAATACTACAATGTTTGGTTGGAAGGACTAGAAAAATTTATTCCCGCATAACTAATGTAGATGGGATAAATATGATCTGTGCGTAATTTCATATTGCATTTGATTTGCGGTACTAAAAATATAGCATTAAGTTATGTGGGAGTATATGCATTATTTTATGCAGGATAATGTGGAATTAGGATACGTGTATTGGTAATATAGATGCCCTTTAAGTAAATAATCCTTACATAACATTTCATGTATTATTATTCATTGCATAACAGTTTCTATGTTATTATTTGTTAAAGAATGACAGAAGTCTTACATTGGTGGTCAATGTGATGAGTGGACTCCTTATAAGACTTGGGCAATCCTACTCCCTTTGAGCTAGTTAATGTCATAGTAACACATCACTTATGGTTTGTGCAATCATAGGATCTGTTTGAACTGACTGCTAATGTGAGTTCTTTTATAGATGATAAGGAAGGTACAGTCGGGAGACATCGAGGTCGTCTGACCAAGAAGCAGAACATACAAGGAAAGAAGCTTTTTGACGAGCACAATTCTAGTGAAGACGAGGAATCAATCAGTGGATCTGACCAGGAGGCAGATGAAGAAAAACAAGATGACGAAGAGGTCCCTCTAATACATTCTTTTAAGTCATCAGCCAAGCTAAGGTCTCTGAAGATATCAAGAGAGAGCTGAAGCTATGTGAGAACTGGTCATTTTGGTCTCTGTTTAGACTTTTCCTGTTCCAAAGCATCAGGTACTTATTTATTGATTGCCAATTTCATACAAGAAAAAAGATTTAGTTTTTAAAATAAAAAATAAAAAGATCACCTTAGGCACTGGTTTCATGTTTTACACAGTTTCCGTAGGTTTTTGTTAAGTAGGCTTCTTGTACATTGCTTTTCTTATTCTTGACATCTGCTAGTTTGAATAGGATGTTCCGGACATGTGTTCATCTTTTAATGTATAATCATCTAAGCTCTGATTCTACCTGAATCAAATTTACAGTCTTGATGACGCCTGTTTGTCTAACTTAAGACTGCACATATTCATCTTTTTTCTGGAAGTGACAGCTGAAGTGAATTCCATTTGTTATTTTCAGGTTCTCAAGTCTTAAAAGTCTGTTCTCTATGATCACGAGCAAACAGGTTCCTCGCGAACCATTCTAGTTTGAGAGGAAACCTTTGTTGAAGTAGACCTTAGGTGCATGCAGCCTTGTGTATTAAAAATAGGTCATGTCTCGATCTCTTTTTTTTTTTTTCTTTTCGAAGTAGCTGTATTTGCGATTTCTTTTTGGCAGCTTCAAGTCATTTGTGGATTCGCTAAGCTATTATTTATCGGGATTACCTTGTCATTATGTAACCTTTGGACTCCTAATGGCTAGTAAGTTCTGAATTGCCAAAAAAAAAGTACTAGGAAGAGAAATGTGCTGAAGATGGAAGCAAAATTCAAGTAGGAGAAATGCAAAATATTCAAATACAGGATCAACGTTTCTGATTGTTTTTTCACCCTAGGTGTGATTACAACTATTTACAAGTTGCTATTGATATTTACATATTAGTTGTAATCACAGTTGTAATTTGAAGGGGAAGGCATTTGTTTGTGCGTAAGCCCCTTTAGAGACAGGGGCAAGCCAGGGTAAAGGCTATAGTAAATTTATTGCGACTGAAGTATTGTTTCTACGTGGGAATTTAGAATGGAATCACTCAACTTGTGCAATCCCAACAGTCATGGTATGGTAGCCTTCGTAATGCTACTCATAGCTATATTCATTAGAGTAAACTGGGTTTGTGAAATCTTCTGACTCTACGGTCTGGGTGGCAAGGAGGAAAATATATATTTTTCAATCATGTTTGGTTGTCTAAATATTTGGAAAATATTTTCTCTAGAAAAATAAGTTTCTTAAAAATTAGGAAATGATTCTTCTAATATTAAATAGGGAAAATAAGTTTCACAAGTGATAGTAACATTCCAAGCTCATTCTCTTCTGTCCACCCACCCAATGCTTCCAATCCTTATTCCCTGCCATCCCTAACCTCCACTCCCCACTCTATCCTAACCCCATGACGTCTTGCTAGAATACACATGTTTTTGGGATAAATTCTTTTGCTTGCTTATCAAACACTAAAAAATAGGTTGAAAATTTACTTGTTTGTCAAGAAAATATCTTCTTAATACCAAACATACCCAGTACTCTGATCCTGTGAAGTGAGAATTTGAATGTAGATTAGAATTACTCTAATTTATACACCTATCTTTTGTATCTTTAACTTGAGATAATGATCAAGAGTACATCCTAACTAATCTTTCGCAAATTCTTTACTCCAATTATCAGTTCTTTTTTTCTATTTGAATTTTTAAAATAATTACCAATAGGGGTGTGAGAGCATAGTTTGTCCATAAAATTTCATCTATATGACATGCACTAGGGCTATAATGAGCTATCTATTTTGAAATTAATTAGCGTAGATGTTCACTACTATAGAAATAAATACTCACTACTCTCACCTCTCATATTCATTAGGTAGAATAACTCCCACATCTAATCCAGAGTTTTCACAATCGGATATGAATCGAACTTCATATTTTGGTATTTTTCCGCTATCCATTGTTTTTCCATAAAGGCCAAAGTTGGCCAAATATATAGATGCATAAAACAAGTACAAGGTCCAACATAATAGCCCCTAAGTCGGCCTACTATGCAAATAAAAAACAACAAAAGCCAAATGACAGAAAAAGAAACCAAAGAAAAACGCCAAAGGGAAAGTGAGATCTCCATATGCTTTTAAAAGGTCGTCTTCTCCGATAAGCTTTGATTGGTTCGATGACTTGAATGATGCACACCGCTATAGGATGCTGCTCATCCGTAAGTTTCCTTTCTTGCATGACTGATTATGAAGAAATTTGAGCAATTACTGCCTTTATTTGAACATTTTGTGCTTCGTCTGTGACTATTTCAATCCCATCCTAGAACGTAGTGTCCTTGCAAGGCTAAATACTCCTGGGTGACCTATAGCGAAGTAGTACTGTGAGGGTAAAGAATCCGGGAGTGAAATAGACATTAAACACTATTAGTGGTGTATTACCTTAGTTAAGGTTATGGCATGTCGTCTTGTTGTATTTTTATTTTTCTTTATAAAAGCTAATAAAACCATCAAGACAATATAAGAAACTAAAAAAACACTATTGAACTATATCTCATCTATTTTTTGTAAAAAAAAGTAAAACTTGCAAAATACAGGTTGCCTCTCTAGTAGTGCTTGATTTAACACCACGACACAATGAGATTGACTCGATCATCCAGTGTCAGGATCAAATAGATCTCCGCAACAATCATATTCTTGTAGATCTATTTTTATTTTTCATGATCCTTTCCATTACTTCTCTAAGCTTGAAAATCCAATCATGACCATGTCTTGCCACATCGTTCATAGCTTTGGTGACTTCTTCTATTGTCACTTCGTTCAAGTTCTCACCTGCACTCATATGCTTCACACCGACACTCCAGTAGCTTTGGCTAAGTAATGACTTCAGTTTGTGGTAACCCTTGGTACCAAGATTCACCTATAAGGGAGTGTACATACATTTTCAGCTTCAATTCTTTGTCAGTCATTAATGAACTCATATGCTTCACGTTGACACTCATAAAATTTCTCTAGCGTTGGAGAAGATTGCTCTCCTAAGAATTACAATATAGTCAATTTTTTCTTGTAATGTGAGTAGTGGTATATCAGGATGTTCGTCCATCACCTTTACTATGGATACAATCTGCATCAGACATCAAACACTTTAATTTTGTCATTGTCACGATCCAAAGTAGACCCTAGATGTAACATGACGTTTAGGGTCGAGAGGCCCTACACAAGCTACTTAACATGCATCATACAAAATAATAGAAGTAAAGACTTTAAAAGATAGCATTTTATACATCAAAAGAGTTTGACAAAAGTGGATCGAAAGTCTTAACATAAGTCTCAAAGCCACCTAATACAACACAAGAAAAGTGATTGGGACGTAACCCATACATCACATACAAAGTCTAAAACTGAAGTATAGAAAAACAAAACTTCTAACTAGGATGAATGGGCTAACTGTGGATATGATGCTGGAAATAGACCGATTTTATATCACCCTTCAATTTGAATTAGCAAAAGTAATGTCTCATTGCATAATATGGATTCCAAACATTCATGATCTGGATGTGAATGAGTCGAATGACTTATCCCTCGGTCTATTAGTGAACCATCTCTCTAGGGATTGTGAAAGATGTTCTACTAGAAATATTCTTGCTATTGTTTCGACTCGTATTCCCCAAAAGGTGGATCTAGCTCTAATAGCTTTGAACAAATTAAAGGGAAAATGCTCAAATATGTCATCGAAGTATTGGAAAAGGCTCATCTATGCCATCCGTTAAAAGTCTGGCTCATTTATGCCATTACCGTTATAGAAAAGGTCCATTCATGCCACTTTTCATTAACCACCTTTTCTATAACGGAATCCATATCCAGATTTTCAAAACCATTAATGTGACATGGTCTCTTATTAGAGGTCCACGTCACCAATATAAAATCAGGTCATTTAATTAAAATAAAAACAAAAAAGACGCTTTTATCAGTCCTAACTTGCTAGCGCCGTTGCGCCGCCTTTAACCTAATACCTTCCATGAATGGCCATTCTGGCCACTGGTCAGCCTAATCTTGGGGCTGGCCAGTCGAATCTGTTACAAGATAGTAGTTTTCCATCTCTAATACAAAATTCTTGTTTAAATCTGCTTATCGCGCCTGGGTTGGCGACTCACGATACTCATGTAATTAACAATTATGCTAATGTCCTTAAGAATCATATCAACAATCAAGCCCAAAAGGCTGGAATTGAGCCTATTCCATTGAAACAACTCCAATACAATAATGGGATTCCAAGGATTGTGTGGACAGAAGAGGAAGTTGATAGGATGAATAGTTTGGAAGATCTTCAATACGTCGTGGTTGGAAAATTTTCCTATGGTTGGCCGGAGTTGGAAGAACTCCGCACAAGTATCCCACGACAGTGTAATATCAAAGGAGAGTGTAAAATAGGCCTATTGAGAAATAGGCATGTTCTGATTAGATTGGATCAACAAGAAGACTTCATAAACTTAATGTCAAAAGGCATATATTATATTCTGGCCAAGGACGGTTATTCATATACTATGAGGCCACTTATATATGATGCTAAGTTTAAGGTTGAAGAAGAGACGACACAAGCTATGGCATGGATATCCTTCTCGGATTTAAAACCCACATATTTTGTGAAGGAAGCCTTGTTTTCATTAGCACCTGTAGTTGGAAAACCTCTTCAGTTAGACATGGCAACAATCAATAAAACTAGACCTAGTTGTGCGAGGGTCAAGGTGCAAGTGGACTTGTTAAGTGAGTTTCCTAAGCATGTAGAGATGGAGATTATAAACAAAAAGACAAATGAGTCTAGGAAGGAAAAAGTTAAGATCCAATATGATATGCTGCCCAAATATTGCAAACAATGTAAAGTGCAAGGTCATGAGGATGAAACATGTAGAAGCCTCCATCCTGAACTAAGGCAAACAGAGGTACACAATGCAAAGGGGACAAAACAGGGGACAACCGATAACAACAATGAAGAGCAGGGCAATGAACATGCAACAAGAAGGAGACGAGTTGTTCGAAGATATTGGAAACCCATCAACATACAAGAGTCACGAGATAAGTAGGGTGAGCAATAAATTGGAGTACAAAAAATGATAGAAAAGGGCATTAATATTGATAATGCTTTTGCTGCACTGGCCGAGAAGAAAGAAGAGGTGCATCCAGAGGAATCTACAGGGACAAATTATAGTAATGATAAAACAAGTGAAGTCAAGAGTCAAAGGGAAGCTAACAAGGTTCATCATCACTCATTGACAAAGGAATGGATAACTAATGCATTTGCAAATTATCAAGTAAAGGGATATGGAGACACATGTAGCATCAATAGAACCACTGAGCAGGACAATACAGAAAAAATAGCAACACGGCATAGTGGGGAACTAATGGAGGAACAATTGGTGCATAATGGTCAACAGGCACAAGGGATGATTGATGTAGTGCTGGGAGAAGGAGAGAGGCAGCTGATAATTGTACCTACAAAGCAAAATATAGAAGATATCAGTCTCAATCAAATGAATAAACAGGATTCCCAGATTGTTGCTGCAGTGGAGGAAAAACAGAAAGAAGAGGCTGACAGCTTACTCTTGAAAGAGTTAGCTGAGGCAGATTGCCAGATTCCCCTCCAAATTGTAGTTCCATTGGTTGAAGAAAGTCTTTCTTGTGCAGTAGTTGTAGTTCCTGTTATACCAACACCAGAGAAAGATAATAGGTCAGCAATTATGAGTTGTAGTGTAAAATCAGCCCTTATGGAGAAACTCCACACACTAATATCACATCAAAGTCAAGAGGATATGGTGGTGGAGATCAAGGCTGCCAGTTCATTCATAGAAGACACAG